CGTTAACGCAAATACGCAGGTTCGAGATGTTGAACCCGAAAGACGAGTGCGTGGCTCTACGTCGCAGATTGATTTCCACCTATTCTAGACGGATAACGAGCCCCCGTTCGCCGACTAAGAGCATGTACTAGGCTCTGTGGACGCTTCCCTCGCTCCCATATTTTGTTTGAAATTCATACTAGGAGGAAGATAAGTTTAACGTCTGTCTGGCGTGCGAGCCCTGCAAAATAATGCCTACCTTTTATCACTGTCTCATAAAGCGTTGGTCCTTCCTAATTCTCCGAGGCCTATAAATGTTATGGACTTATTTGCTGACAGTTCTATGAACCAGAACACGTCTGAGACTCCATGCTCATCCCTGTGGTGTGGGAGCAATTAAAGTGGCCTGAACTAACTCTACGACCGATCCGAAGAAAAAATGGCCATTCCCGGAAAAAAGCCAAACATTTAATAGCTATCCACCGAAGCTACCAAGATTTTCACGACAGAGTCAACCAAATTATTCAAATATGCCAAAACTCCCATATTATTTATTGCTATTTCCAGCCACCTAGTGAATTCCAGGCTCAGTGATTATGAAATCTTGCATTAACATTTAGCTTACTCTTTCAGAATTGCTGAATTCCAAGTGCTATAGTGTGTTGGACGAGTAATTCAATCCAGATAGGATTAAATGCGTTGTGACTTTTCGAGGTGAGCTGCCATTTTTCCCTCCTTCCATTAGCAAGTACGTCGGTTGGCCTACTTCGTCCATTATAAAACGATTGTTATACTCCTTTCTTTATTTTAACTACAATGAGGTCATCTGCGCACGATGCTAGCGCCGTTTTGAAAGCAGGCCAATTTGGCCTACATTTGACGACTTTTCCAAGGACATTTATCGGCAATGTCCACAATTGCGGTCATTGACGACTATGGATTGTTTTCAATTTCCCGTTGTTGAGAGTTTGCGCGCCTACTTTTGTTCCTTGTGAATGGAGGACGTTTTGGCTGAAAATCTTGGAAATAATATTTTCAAAATGAAGCGTATCTCTCTTGCGTCTGCTCGTCCACCTGGTACGAGTAGGGGCTGCACTCCAGCCTTGTTCGTGCAGTTTTGGCTGCGAATTTCATCGGATTTGCCGGGTTTTTCATATTCGGATTACATTAAAAATTAAAGTTATCTACCTGGGCATGTTCAGATAGTTCGAGTTATTTTGCGGGTTTTTTCGTCAAGCTTGAAATAAATAGGTCGTTCTCACTCTCATACCCTATTTTTTCAGTAGAGTCTATGTTGGATACACCTGTTTCCCAAAAAATCTGTTCGCCTCATAATTTAACATACGTGAAGTGTTCTGATGTGCGTGTTGTAGTTAATAGGCTCGTTGTAATCCTTTAATTCGAGTGAGATGGCTACGAATATACGGTAGCAGGCGAAGCGGCTAACGGCGCCTTCGATCAGGCTGGAGTAGAGCCGTCACAATTAATCCGTACTCTCAATGGCACCATGACGCATTATCTGCAAAACTGAGGGTTCCGCTAGCGCTGCCAATTACCTTTTCACTCTTACTTCTTGAAGGTTACACAAGCAAATTTCTGGCCTGGAGCCGATCTTGAACAGGCCAATGAGAATGCTCAGAGCTGTTCGTCGCCTGTAGCCTGGTGGCGCCACCATACATACATATATATACACGCATGAGTTCGATCCACGGATCGAGCAGCTCCTTGGCACCGACGCACCAACAATGAGGTTCTTCATGTTGACAATTTGCCTCTTGGCAACCGTAGCCTTGGCTTCTGCCTACCAGAAGAAGGCAGCTATCCTCGGACAAAAATCCTTCCTGGCCACTATACCTTCCAGCTGCATGGAATATGTCGAAAAGCTAGTCAAGTGGGAGATCATTGAGTCAAGCAAAAAGGAAATTGACTGGATCTTCAAATGGCCCAACAGCACTACTTGTGCCCAATTTGTCAGCGATCAGCTCACCGAGGAGGATGTTGATCCCTGCATGCAGTGCCTCCTGCCCTATGAGCAACATGTCATCAAACTGCCCGGTTGTCAGAACTGCTACGACAATTTCACTCAAGCTAAGAAACTCTGTAAACGCTGTCTCACGGAGATTGTATATGTGACTGAGGCAGTGACCTGTGCGGTGGAGGCAAAGGTCAAGCTGATACTGACTCTCCTGCATTTGGGCGTATAAAAACACACAACTGTCAGATGCGTGATCAGATAGACCGCCGACCAAAAAGATCTTGCCACAAATTTTTTTGGAATCTTTGTAACCTATAGCGCATTTGCCCAATAAAACAGTGACGGTGAGCGGACTTGGAGTTTTTTTCTGATTGCTTAGAAGCGTAACCTGGCTTAAATGGTTTCGTTTTGTGAAGAAGAAGAAGAAGATGGCCAGCAGCTGTTTGTAAGGTTGATTTGGTTTTTTTTCTGCGAGATGGAAAAACGTGGAAACTGCAATTGCAATGGGATTAAATGTAATTCTATAAATATTTAGTATGTCAAAAGGTGACTATTTTACTGCTATCGTGTCAGCTAGTGTAATGGCATTTTTCCGCATCTGGACTGTAAAGTTAACAGATAAATAATGACATTAAGTGATGAGTATTCACCGACCGCTAATGAAACTCACTTGTCCTGCTCTGCCTTTCGCCTTTGGCCTCATTCCTCGAGCCGTGACAGCAGCTTTAACGGCTAGTCCAGTAGTCACCAAAGATCCCGCAACATGTTGACATATGCGAAATATTGATACTATTTCGCTAATCGGCATTGACTCAGGTTGTGATACTGATTATCGTGCTGTCTATTCTGAAGTTTATTCCGTCATGATAGGATGCGGGCTTTTTAACTAGCTTCGTTCTGACCACTAGCACAGCCTATCTATTGTTAAAACTGGCTTCTTAATTAGTATGCCTTTTTATCATTTATTTTGACTGCCTTTATAAATTTAAATTTATGTTTCGAAAAACATGCAAGAAACAATTATTTATTGCACACATTTGATAGCAAATTACGACTTCTTTAAATTTTGTAAACAAAGAAAGGGTAGATTTCGGTTTTAAAAAAGTTGCTCGATTGCCGAATAACTTTCTAACCTAGTGACTGCTACACTCCAATTCAAGGTTTAAAAACTGCGCACGGTGTACACCCTGTTTAAGAAAAAAGACGTTTTCACCTACAGTTTGAGGAAGAAGTCAAATTGTTGTCATAAAATATTGAAATAGATATGGAACATATTTTATGCAGTATAAACAGCATTCATAAATTGACGGATACGATGCATTATGAATAAACGCCTCACAATTGTAAAAAATTCATGATTAGCAACATTGTAAAACCGTAAGATACCCTTCCTTTAAGTTTAAACTTTAAAGAAGGCGTAATCTGCTATCAGACAAGCACAAAAATAATTTTTCGCGCAAGTTTTCCATAAAATATATTTTAACTTATAAATGCAGTCAAAATAAATGATAAAAGGCATACTAATTAAGTAGCCAGTTTTTACAATGGATGCGTTTTGCTAGTGGTCAGAACGAAGCTTGTTTAAAAGCCCGCATCCTATCATTGACTGGAATGGCCTCAGAATAGACTACACGA